AAACAAATATTTGTATATACTATATATATATATATATATATATATATATATATATGTGTGTGTGTGTGTGTTCCATATATTTTTTAATTTTTTATTGTTCGAAGAATGTTACGAAATTCTTTCAAACGCATTCAACAATTTCTCATAATAATTAATGATACATTCCACTTGAACTAAGTTTACGTCACTCACAGACACATAATTAGTAGAGAAAGGGTAGTGAAAAGTACTTAAATGAATTTCAGTAATAAATTGTAACAGATCGTAGATTTTAAGTAAAACTAACAAATTTTCATAAGAATGCTAAAATGTTAAATCATTATTGTACTTATAATAATATGAATAAATTAATTATGAGTGACGCTATGAGCGTGCCTTCTAATTTTTAATAGTATTACATATGTACAAAGAAAAGATTGCTCTCCTTCCTTCGAATACTTTAATATTAATGATATCTATATGATTAGCACGTATAAAAATCGTGAAACCGCTGATGATATTTTAGAAAATTTATTTAAAATCTTTCCGTATTTGGATCTTGTAACATTCTCTCTCTTCTAACATTTTGAAAAGTCTACGAATCGATGTTGTCACGGTGGAAATTTAATTGTTCGTCTCGTTCTCGTTAATTCTAACAGCACTTCTGCTTGAAATAATAACATCCTGTTTAGTAACACTGTGACACACCGTGTATCCAAGGAAGGACTTCAGTCGGTTATTGTATTACTTAAATTCGAATACGGAATGTGCGAGCAGTTCTTTGAATGCGAAACTCGCGCAAGGAACAAACTGATATTTCGCTGATGTCATTTATTGTGTTACAATTTTTTATCTTTTTGCGGAACTTTACTAAGCAATCGATACCACAGTAATAGTAGACGTTATCATCAGGTTCATTGAAATGTTAATACTAAGTATAATAAGTATATTGTTGTTGTGGAACAACAGTTTGGCAGAATGGATAGACATGCCACAGTTCTCCGATGAAAATAGAATATACAGGTATGTAACAAAAACAGTATGTATATTAAACATCGCTTAATTTGAAGTTTTCCATTTTTTACTTGTAGAATACCATCCTCGAAACAGGATCATTATTATCAATTTTCCCCAACAATCACAGAAGGTCAATCATCGCGGAAAGATCTGTACGAAGAAGTAGCAGCAGTTAACGGAAACGAAGGATCTCTACTATCGCATCGATTCGAAGATTCTGATAGTGAAACCACGACGATTCACGAGTATACCAATGAAGAAAATTCGTTTTCAACTAGTTCCGAAAAACAAGAAAAGACAACCGATTCCTCGATAGCGGATGTATGCTAATATTTTATGTTCCATCGATTTTGCTTACTTCGAATTCTTTCTTTTTTCCAGAAAAACAATTCGAACACAGAATATTACAATGGATCCTTGATCTCGAACAACGTAGACATACTAAAATATTTACCGGTAAACGTATTGAAAACTGTTCATCAGATTTTAAAATCGCAGTCCACGTCTAGCGAGGGAAAACTCTTGTTCTTGAAAATATTTGAACAAACGTTGATAACTGAAATAGGTAATCGAATGATTTCTATAAGCGACGTAGAAATCTCTAGCAAACAAATAATAACCATGATTTATTTTTTTCTTTTAAAGAATCACGTCTCGCTCAGACTGTAACAGGTAGCCGACACAAAAGAGGAACCGAACATTATGATCTCGGTTACGACTCTCACGACAACGCCACAGGATTTCCGTCCATAGAAGGTGCATTGATGGCTATTTCATTCCTCACGTTTGCTGTATATCTTGTTCGACTAGTAATGGTATTAATGACTTGATTATAAGTATCTGTTAAATTCCATTATCACCAGTAATTTGATTTGTATTTGCTATTATACGTAATTGTTTCTTATTCTTTTAGCTTTTATTCAGAAATATGAATAACCCTGCACCCACCCCAACCGGTGCCACGTTACTCCTCGGCAGAAGAAAAAGGAGAAGATCTATAAACATACTTGACGAAGAGACGGTTAAGATACTCAGCAGCATGGATAAATTCATCTGAAAGAAAAAATGCATAGTAGCTGTACTAGTAACTTATCACCGCGAACAAATTCTTCATTTATCCGATGTAACTTTGTGGTGAATATTTCTTTACGTTTCTTACCCAAGTTTACAATTTGGCTTGCACAGTTAGCGGCGTTGCGGACAATAATACTGTATCACGATATGAACCCGGTGGTCGTTTCAACGAAAGATTATGCAATTCTCCAAGAACTAACCCTAATCGAATTTTGTCGACATGGTAGGTGTTTGGTTTTTCTGATGGTACCAGAATACTTTGCAATATGAGATTGCTTATCGATGTGGAAAATAAATCAAGAGATAATGAATATGGATGCATCCCCCATCCATCTCCTTCGAGAAATGCTTCTTCAGCCCGTTTCTGAGCTTCGGTGGAAACTACTTTTACAGTTACGTCGACCGACTCATCCCACTGTAATTGAGAAGATTTTTCAAGATTTTTCATCGAACATTGAAACGATACTGCATTATTAAGAATCGATTTCTAATTTCACCTCAAACAAAACAAGACTCGTGATGTACATTGCATCTACAAACGGCAGTAATACATTGTACAAGAGAGAGAATATTTTCAAATTATGTGCTTGAATATATTTGTTATTGTGAATATTTATATAATTCAGTCTCAGTAAAATATCTAGAGTTTCTTTCCATTCGAACATTACCGCCGACTCATCTTCCAACAGTGGCATTGCGAATTCTGTGCTCAATATTAACCTGAGTAATGCATATCGTTTAAAAGCGGAATCTACGTGTAACATAATAAAAATATTTTATTTAACCCTATTGATACGCACACGTTAATAATAGCGAACATGTATGAGTAATTATTTCAAGATTACCGAGTTCGGCTCTTTCCATTCCAATTGCTAACGTCGCAATAGCTGGTTTCATTAGAAAAGAAAGTGTGGGATTCAGATAAATTGATACGTTAATAACTGATACTGCTATTTGCATCGTTTTCTCCGAGAGAGTATGTCCTTTAACTTGTGTGAGGATTTTCAATTTTGTCGATTTGTGTCTTTGTTTCAGTCTTAGAACTTCCAACGAATCAAACACAAGTAATTCTTCATGAGTCTTTAGGGTATTTAATATTTCTTGTCCTGCATCATTTGCATCCCCTGACCTAGACCAAAACATATTTTATAATAATGACTGTAATGTTAATAAACCCAATGGTTTTTTCTAAAGTGAAACTTACTTTTTTGAGTATACAGTCGCATGAAATGTTTGTAAAATGTTTTTACACCACAAATAATCATTAACTAAACTATCTAACGTGTACGGATTATCAGGATACATTTGACTCCTTTCATTGAACAACAATGCGATTACATTGATAGGCATAAGAACCGTATTTTTTTTATGCGAATCAATTATATGGAAAGCCAAACTTTCACAGACCGTCGATGGTAGTTTTGTATAGGGTGATAATACTTTTGCCTTACGGACTTTCATACTTAGAAAGTTACAAGCAGAAATGGGCTCGCCGATATTACAAAACACATAACCGTATGCATAAGGTTTCCGTAAAATAGACAACGATTGAAGGAGACCAACTGTAGATTCTTTCGGTTTCGGAACACCTAAGAGTTCATACGCGAATAGTAATTCTTCCGGTGGTCGTTCGTAGCTAATACTTATAGGTATAAAATGAATATCGGGTACCCCACCTTCCAATAAACTTTCCAAAATAGTTGATAAAAGACCTAGAAAGAATGTTGTTAGACATTATGTTTGTATTGTTTGGTATTTATGGTAGAATAACACCGTAATAGCAGCAATTTCTACGTACCAAATTTTGGTATTATACTCTTCAAGCTTCTACTGCGAGTGCCTTCGATGAAAAATTCTATTGCTCTGTCGCTGTGCTTTACTAGCGACGATACATACGATTGAAATACTTTTTTGTATACTAAATCATTGCAGAAGCTACGTCGCATATAAAAAGCTCCTGTTTTCCTTAGCAATTCTCCTATCGCGTACATCTGATAAAAGTCCATGCCACTTGCAATGTTAGGAAGCGCCATGTTGTATGAAAACAAAATATACGATAGCAATATGAAATCTAGATAACTTCTATGCGAAGGGGCATACACGTATTGAACTTGAGAAATTTGCATTTCTTTTTTCATTCTCAAGAGTACATTTTCATTTATGTGAATGCTTAAAAAAATTCTTTTAAGTACTTTAGTAATAACAATACCTGAAAATCAATATCAATATCCATAATTTAATGGATAAACATTGCTTTTTCTTTCTCAATTTTGTACTTACCTAGCCAACGCACAGTAGCTAAATGTGCTTTACTAGCCATTTCATTTATCATCACACGAGCTTCTTTTACAACTTTGTTTACGTCTAGTTGCTGTGCCGTAGCTACAGATGTAATTGCTAATTTAACTTTTTCATCGTTCAAGACAGCTTCAATCATTTGATCTCTGGAATACTTGGATTCGGAAGAAATTTTATGTGGTAATAAGGGATCCATAGGTCGAGAAGCCCATAAAATATCACAATCCTTTCGCCTTGCGAGCAACAAATCCACAGATTCTACGTGTCGATGCATTTTAACAACAGAATGCCGATACCAATTTCATTTGTTCACAAACCGATTTCTCCGTGAATGGATATTTTACTAAAAGCAAGAAGCCGACATAAGGTGCAACGATCAATTTTCTCTCATTTTCAATTCGAATGATATGTCAATACAATCTGTTATGCAAATACATATGTATGTATATACTTACGCGGCCATAGGTCACAGCACATGTGCCCGCTGTTGTAACTCATACAGTGACGACGTGACGTGTGCGTGAGTGCGACGTTCAGTGATGTTGATCGCCGAGTGTATGATAGTCGAGTGATTGGGTGGTGATGTTGAGGTCACTGCTGTCCATGGTCCACGTCTTTGCATATACTGCTTGTGCTTACACTAAGTATGTCCACATATGTACGTATGTACTCTGCTTGTGCTTACATCAACATCTCAATTAAACTTTAAATACATTCTGCGAAATTAAACATTTTTGCATATTCATTAATGTCGAACAATAAAGAAGTTGAACACGTTTGGAATATCAATGTGTCACTCTTTCGAAATTGCATGGATCGATGCATTTTAACCGCAGAATGCCGATATCAACTTCATTTGTTCATAAACCGATTTCTCCGTGAATGGATATTTTACTGAAAGCAAGGAACCATAATTATGCATTAGCATAACTTATATGCATGTATATAGTACATCTTAAACATTCTGACGTCACGTAGATGATTTATGTACATCAAGTGACAGTACATATCATTCCACGAGGTATATGCACGTGTCGATCTAACGTCCTCATAGCACAGCCCGTGCTTCACTCTACACAACATACATATGTATGTATGCTACATATCCCAAGGCCATGGTGATGTATTGGTGCTGCCACTTAGCGATAAACAGTGAAAATCAGTAAAAACCAATGAAAACTCGAAAATAGAAAAAATTAATGATCTCCGGTACCGGTACTAGTGCAATAGTACCAATTGTTCAAAATTAATGTTCCTGGAATCAAAAAACTTGTGGAGGGACAGCGGGTGCAACATACATACATACATGCATACATACATACATGCATACATACATACTCAACCCGGACAGACACTGGTTTACAGCGTAGAGTGTTTAGGTTACGTTAGACGCGAGGAACATAGGAAAACACAAGGAATAACTCGAAGGTGTTGATGTGTTTATTATTTTCATTGGAAGAAATAACTGTGATCGACCATGAATCCTGCAGAAGATTGGAGCGGCAATTGTCAGACACCGATAGACGATCAGACACAGGAAATCGCCCATGAGGAATCTAAACAAGCTATACCTGGATACGTTAAGTTCGACGACTACATTCAGGTAACTTATCCGTCTTCTAAATCTCAGTTGTGTACAGTTTCAAAATTCGCATGTCTTCTCGTATTATATAATATCTTATTTCAGGATGCGTTTGATGCTATAAGAGTTGGAATCAAAGCAGCGAATGCTTTGCCGATCGAATCAAACTTTAACTATTATTGCTGTTTTCCTAGTTTTTTAACTGCCAAAGATAATAATGTGGAGCTATTGTTAAGCGTTATGCAGCATGTTTTGGGAACCGCGGGTATTAAAGGTAACATTTCTAGGCTCGATACGGAAGAAAAGTTTGACCTTCTGTTGGAATCCAACGACATACTCCTGGACAGAGCAGTAAGCTTAGACGTTTGTATAGAATTATTAGTAACTTTGTGTTTCTAACGAACTGTAGATGTTACCTTGTTCGTAGAACTTGTTAATGGATGAAGAATCTGGCATTGTGAAGACATCCGAAGTAGAATTTGTTGTAACGCAGACGAAAAAACAGACTGTGAACGGCAGTTGGAACAAACGACCGTCTCGATTGACCGAAACGATTGACGCTGCGCAATCCGTTCGGCTACTTGCCGGTAGAAACATTCAAAGACCTCAAATAATGTTCAAGGATAAAATTGATAACAGCTCGAAACCATGGTGCCCCAAGATCAAAGACAAACCAAACTCTTTGAAACCTTTGGCAATTTATTTGGAAGAGGGCGAGAACGGAGAAACTTTCAGTCATCCGTACGAATACGAATTGGACATCTTTACTCCCCCTTGCAGCCAGTTACAGAAATTCGAACCTAAGAAATATAAATCTCTAGACGAAACGCCCTTGATAATGATCGAGAACCCGTCCGATGTCAAAACACTGATACAAGACTTGAATAGGTACAAAGAAATTGCCGTAGACTTGGAGCATCATTCCTATAGGAGTTTCCAAGGAATAACTTGCCTAATGCAAATCTCGACGTCAGATGCGGATTACATAATCGATACATTGACGTTACGTTCCGAGCTGCACGAGTTGAATGAAATTTTTACGAAACCTACAATTCTGAAAGTATTTCATGGCGCGGATCTAGACATTCAATGGCTTCAACGAGATTTATCCCTGTACGTGGTGAACATGTTCGACACACATCAAGCCGCGAAACAACTTAATCTGCCTTATTTGAGTTTAGCATACCTGCTGAAACATTATTGTAACGTAGATCCGAACAAACATTTTCAATTGGCCGATTGGCGAATAAGACCTTTGCCTGAAGAACTTCAAAGATACGCTAGAGAAGATACGCATTATTTATTGTTTGTGAAAGATATACTGAAGAATGCTTTAATAGATGTTGCCAATGGACAAACGAACATCTTGAAAGCAGTGTACGATAGAAGTACAGACATATGTAAGAAAACTTACGTAAAGCCGTTCTGGACGGAAGAAAATTGTATGAGTCTGTATAGAAAGAGTCAGAAAATGTTTAATAATAAACAGCTTTATGCTCTGAGAGAAGTTCACAAATGGAGAGATTCGACTGCCAGGGAAGAAGACGATAGCACCGCTTACGTTTTACCGAACCACATGCTCTTGAATATAGCGGAAACATTACCACGCGAGATGCAAGGAATCTTGGCGTGTTGCAATCCTATACCTCCTTTGGTCCGACAACATTTGCTAAAGTTACACAAAATCATATTGAAGGCTAGAGAACAGCCGCTCATCAAACCAGTTCTCGAGGATCTCAGGCAAAGGTTGACCCAAAGAAATCAGATTTCAAATTCAGAAACTTGGATGCATTCGCCCCATGATATTCCAAGCGGTATGGAAGCGAGAGCCGATTTACCATGTTTGTTGGACAAAAGTATGGTATCTGAAACATCATTGACAAATACTACAGTGGAACATACGGTTACAGTGTTCGATAGCCCAGTCACATCCGAGGTAAAAAGGAAATAAACGCGATAAATCTCGTTTCTAGATACTGTAGAAGATAATTGAAGTATTCTTATTTTTCCAAATGATTTCAGGACGAAGAATCTACAAAGGACGATCAACAAAGCGTCAAAAAGAAAAAGTTTGTGTTTGTTAGTCCGTTCGAACGATATAAACGCGTGATACCAATGATAGCACTGGAAGAAGCACAAGAAAGGGAAAGGCAAAAGCAAAAAGAAGAAAATCGAGCGACAGAAATGCAGAAACAAGAAGACCAAGAAGAAATAGCGGGAAGCAAAAATAGAGTTTACGAACATTTCAAACAAGTTTCTAATATAACGGCAAGAGAAAATTCGAAGAAACCGGCACCGGTATCCTTGTGTCAACTACAAGGGCGAAAACGAAAGCGAGATTCCAATATCAAAAAAGAAGCTGGAACGCGAGAGAAGGAAGACGACAGTTTATTAACGCCAGCTCCGTCATTGGTGAAAGATGAATCGGACGACGAGACATCCTTAATGGAGGAGCAGAAGGTAGAAAATTATCTAGCAAGAATCCGAGATCGAGGCGAAGTCAAGGAAACGATCAAATCTATACGGTGAGACTGACGTGTATATATTATCCATTGTGTATTTTTGATCTATACGTTGTCCTAACTGTTCGTCCTAACCGCAGTATAAGGAAAAAGGGAGATAAACGGCAAACGATACAAGAGTTGAAGAATATAGGTTTGATGCCATCGAGAAACTTTGATTACAAACAAGTCGATTTCAGTTCCTTCCAAGGAGGAAGCGCAAATACAACGAACAAAGCGAACTTTGTGCAAACGATGGTAAGAGAACCTTCATCGTCCGTTAAAGTTCCTTAGCGATCGAATCAAGGTACACGTTAAACGTGTTAACGTGCTAACGTCTTATTTCTTTTATACTTATAGAAAAAACAACACGAGAAGAGACGAAAGCGAAAGAAGCTACAAGGAAATGCAATCTGAGAACTCACGTCGTATACATAAATATAATAGTTTATTATACTTTTATGCTCCACGTATATCCTTTTTCTTCTATTTTATAATATGTTGTTTCTTCGGTTAGATTCGATTCGAATCGCTAACAGGCAATTCTGGCGTTACGGTATCAGCGTATCAGCCCCCTTGCATTACGTTCTCCTACACAGATGTAGCGCGGACAAATTTGTTTACTACAACGAATAAATATTGTCTAGAAAATTAATGGGGTACAGTTGTGTTTCTACTCGAGCATGAAATTGGGTGGAAGGCGATGTTCGTCGTTGCGATACCGAAAGCAAGTGCGTATTTCGTTTGAAATCGACGATGTGTAGTGGTAATGTAAGACGGTATACGTAACTTCTGATGTTATGGCTATTATCGTTAGGTAAACAAAATTGAAATTTTGTTCGTATCGACGTAACGACGTAACGACGTATCGACGATGATCGGAAGATCGAAAGTAGTTTGTTCGTGTAAGCCTGAAGTTCGGTACAGAAAATGGTATTCTTTCCGACGTTGTTGATCAAGCTCTCTTTGGTTTCTGCAGCATATGGCCTGCTGTTCGACAGAAATGCGAATCAAAATGAAAATACCAGTAGAAACGTAAACGTTACAGTGAAAAATTCCTTGACCGGTTATATGAGAAATTTATCAGAGTTCATTTATACGATCTCTGGTTCTTCGGATCTCGTAGACTATCGCGCAGAATCTAAATCGGATCAAGTCGATTGTCTTGGTTTGGGTAAAACGTTTGCGACATTTTTGGAATGGCTTTTCACGAGCAAACCAAATGGAACGAAAGCTTTGGATATCAAATTTTTACTGTCTTCGCGGAATCAACCGCAACGCGTCCAGGTAGTGATCGGAGAACAATTTGGTTTGGAGTGGACAGACTATCGAATCGACCGTCCAACTATTATAATTGTACATGGATTTTTATCGAACGGTCAAGAATCGTGGATCAATGATTTGGAAACATCGTTTCTCCAATGGGTGAGTTGTTCTCGAATGTTTGCGATAAAAATGTACGGATACGTTATCTTTGAAATCGAATATCCGCATAGTACGTTCATGTCTCGTGTTATGTACCCAGAACGACGTGAACGTTGTGGTCGTTGACTGGAGTAGCGGAGGTAATACTTGGAACTATTACAAAGCTGCAGTAAATACAAGAGTAGTGGGATATGAAATTGCAAGGTTTGCCGCTGTTTCGCTTTCGAGCGTTCATCGTCGAACGTATTCGCAACATCGAAATCGCGTTTCGTTATTTTTGTTTCGTGTTATTTTTGCCAAGATTTTTAGAACAGATAGAAGATGCGACGAACGTTGGAAGCGTCGGCGGCAGCAACGATAAGAGCCGGGGACCTTTACACTTGGTGGGTCACAGTCTCGGGGCACACATATGCGGGTTTGCGGCGAAGGAGCTGAAAAGAAAACGGAGCGCGTGGAGAGTGAAAAGAATAACAGGATTGGATCCTGCCCAGCCTTGTTTCAGGAACGCGGATTCCACCGTGAAGCTTCACAAATCCGACGCATCGTTCGTAGACATTATACACACTAATGGGAAATTGCTCTCGAAAATCGGATTAGGTTTACCGGAGCCGATAGGTCGGTATCACGATTACGGCTTTACGAAAGCCATCAAATGCTCGCTCTCTTAGACGGTCTCGTAGACGCGGTTCATAAAGTTTCTTCTTAACCAGGCCACGCTGACTTTTATCCGAACGGTGGGAAAAGCCAACCTGGCTGCGTGGAAATAGACGCTTCGTACAACCAATATTTACCGTTTCCTGTCCGAGGTAAGATCGAGCCTTCGAAGGAATTCCGTTCGCGTTGTTTCCCTTCGCTTCGCTTTTAGGTAATCGAATATCTCGATAGAAGAAAACGAGTTGTTTTCAGAGATCGGTAATTCCATCTGCAGTCATGGACGTTCGTACGTTTATTTAACGGAGTCGTTGATATCCGACGTTAAACATAATTGTACATTTTGGGCGCATCATTGGGATTTATCGTATCGAAATCTAATGGCGGTTGGGTCGGAACTTTGTACTAGAAACATTTGCACCGAAATGGGTATAAACGCCATAAATTATCCCCAGCGTGGAACATTCTTCGTTGCTACTTCGAACTCGACCCCATTTTGCCGTAAGTTGTTGCTCGCTCGTGAAACATGCATAGGCACCGAGTAGATTTCGTACACGATTTCGACTTGGATTTGGTTGAACAGCAGTTATGCTCATCTTTCAGTAGTTGTCAACGACACTGGTGCGGTCGGCCAAGCCATCGTTCAGGTGGAGAAGAACAACAGGGACGAACTTTGCGACTGAAACTGATCGTTCGATTCAAATAAATAATCAACGTGTACCGACTATATATTCTCAAATAAATGCTCTTTACTTTGCTCATCGGTAATTATTGCACATCGTACCGAAATTATTCGTTCTAGATTCGTTGCGAAAATAAATCGATCTTTCGATACACATTTTTTTACGCGTTACAGCATAGTGACTCGAACCAACTATATGCTATTAATACTATACATCGTATTTAATAGTAGAAGGCGTAGACGATGAAAACATTCACAGGGCGATAACGGTTCGTTGTATTCGAAATAAGTTGCGCGATCAAACGTTCCGCGCGTTTTACCTACGTATCTATCGATCGCGTATGCTTTAGTTGGCACTTGGATAACGTTAGGGGGGGGAGAGAGAGAGAGAGAGAGAGAGAGAGAGAGAGAGAGAGAGAGAGAGAGAGAGACACGCGCGNTTAGAACAGATAGAAGATGCGACGAACGTTGGAAGCGTCGGCGGCAGCAACGATAAGAGCCGGGGACCTTTACACTTGGTGGGTCACAGTCTCGGGGCACACATATGCGGGTTTGCGGCGAAGGAGCTGAAAAGAAAACGGAGCGCGTGGAGAGTGAAAAGAATAACAGGATTGGATCCTGCCCAGCCTTGTTTCAGGAACGCGGATTCCACCGTGAAGCTTCACAAATCCGACGCATCGTTCGTAGACATTATACACACTAATGGGAAATTGCTCTCGAAAATCGGATTAGGTTTACCGGAGCCGATAGGTCGGTATCACGATTACGGCTTTACGAAAGCCATCAAATGCTCGCTCTCTTAGACGGTCTCGTAGACGCGGTTCATAAAGTTTCTTCTTAACCAGGCCACGCTGACTTTTATCCGAACGGTGGGAAAAGCCAACCTGGCTGCGTGGAAATAGACGCTTCGTACAACCAATATTTACCGTTTCCTGTCCGAGGTAAGATCGAGCCTTCGAAGGAATTCCGTTCGCGTTGTTTCCCTTCGCTTCGCTTTTAGGTAATCGAATATCTCGATAGAAGAAAACGAGTTGTTTTCAGAGATCGGTAATTCCATCTGCAGTCATGGACGTTCGTACGTTTATTTAACGGAGTCGTTGATATCCGACGTTAAACATAATTGTACATTTTGGGCGCATCATTGGGATTTATCGTATCGAAATCTAATGGCGGTTGGGTCGGAACTTTGTACTAGAAACATTTGCACCGAAATGGGTATAAACGCCATAAATTATCCCCAGCGTGGAACATTCTTCGTTGCTACTTCGAACTCGACCCCATTTTGCCGTAAGTTGTTGCTCGCTCGTGAAACATGCATAGGCACCGAGTAGATTTCGTACACGATTTCGACTTGGATTTGGTTGAACAGCAGTTATGCTCATCTTTCAGTAGTTGTCAACGACACTGGTGCGGTCGGCCAAGCCATCGTTCAGGTGGAGAAGAACAACAGGGACGAACTTTGCGACTGAAACTGATCGTTCGATTCAAATAAATAATCAACGTGTACCGACTATATATTCTCAAATAAATGCTCTTTACTTTGCTCATCGGTAATTATTGCACATCGTACCGAAATTATTCGTTCTAGATTCGTTGCGAAAATAAATCGATCTTTCGATACACATTTTTTTACGCGTTACAGCATAGTGACTCGAACCAACTATATGCTATTAATACTATACATCGTATTTAATAGTAGAAGGCGTAGACGATGAAAACATTCACAGGGCGATAACGGTTCGTTGTATTCGAAATAAGTTGCGCGATCAAACGTTCCGCGCGTTTTACCTACGTATCTATCGATCGCGTATGCTTTAGTTGGCACTTGGATAACGTTAGGGGGGGGAGAGAGAGAGAGAGAGAGAGAGAGAGAGAGAGAGAGAGAGAGAGAGAGAGAGACACGCGCGCGGACGCAAGCACATGTATACGTATAACACAATGTACCGGAAAAGTGTTCGCCCACAATGGTAAAGTAAAACGCGCACTTCTTAATCGTTGAATTCTAACAATCTCGATGACAAGTTTACTCGATTTAGGTAGAACGGTTAAAGATTTACAATTGCAAAGACTTTTGTGGGTGATCGATTTGGTTTAGTAGTCGGTAGTGTCGTAATCGTATAAAATTAGTCGAAGCGTATACACCGCATACGTTGTTAGATTCGAGTAAAAATGTTATTCTAACCGGTCGAGGGTTGACCGGTCCACGTTGAACGAAACGTGGCTTCGCTACTCGAGACGTTCGAGCGTGCTTTGGTAGGTTCTCGATCGACTTTGATCGATGGATCGATCGCACACGCGGAGAAAGTTCTTTTTTTCTTTTTTTTTCTCGGCAGCGTAGCGTCGTCGGTTGTCGGTTGTCGGCCGCACGGGCGACGAATGCAAGAAAAGTACCGATAAAAGATGGCCGACTCGCGAACGCGCCGATGTCCGATCAATGAATAACTTGCACGTAAGTGGCTGGAAATATGCCGGTCCGTCCTTTGCATTCGCCTATCCACCAACCGTCCGATTGCTTCTGGTGCACCGTTATCAAGTCCCCGGGGCTCAAGCTGAGCTCGTCGTTCAAATTCGCCGAGTACTGATAGATCGCCCTGCACCGTTCCGCCGTGGCGGCGTCCTCCATGGGCTTTCCGGTAGTCTCAGTCTCGCCGGCACCGTCGATATCTTGATTGTTATTGTCCTCGGAATGGCTGCTGAACTCGTCGAAGTCGCTGAAGTCGTCCTCGTCGGGCGGATTCTCAGAGTTGCCGTCGCCGGCCGTTCGATCGGCCCAATCGCGGCTCTCGGTCTCGTGATCCTTCGCTAGACGAACATCCATTTCGTCTTGGTCGTCTTGGTCGTCTTGAAACTCGAACGATTCGTTCTTCGCCCAAGAAGGAACCTGAAAATCGTCGTACAAATCGATGCCGTTATCTACGATAAAGACGATTGCTCACCTTAAGGACGCTCTGCTGTAATCCTTGTTTGTCTCTCGAAACCAATATATGTTCCGCCAAGGGATGCTTGGCTCGTTTGCTGCCTTCCATTTCTGCCAGAGTTCCTCCAACTTTGTACCTCGCTGCCTCCAAGTACAACAGCATAGAGCGCATCTGCGGCAAAGACAGGATGGCTATCGCTGGACGATCGCGAGGAGAACGAAACGAGCAGGAGAAAAAACCACCGAGGGATTAGGGGGAACAGAGGGAACAGAGGGAATAGAGGAAACAGGGGGAATAGAGAGGGAATCGAGGGAACGAAGGGAATACGTACGTGATGCAACTTTTCCGTGACATTCTGCGTGCTCTCGTCGGCGGCGAAGGCGGGCGTCGAGACGAAAGCTCTGTGAAGCGTTTCCAGACCCTCGCGTCCGCGTTTTTCTCGCTCCAAGTCCTGCCTGATCAAATGGAGAACTCTGACCAGCGACTGTTTCCGACGCTCCCTGTTCATCGCGAGGGTGACATGCTCGGCGTAAAAATCGGGCAAAAGTTGCTCGGAGTTGCAGGTGTCGTTGCTCTCGACTCTTCGTATCAGATTCTTCAGAATCTCGATGTCGTGGGATACGTTGCAGTTGCGCACGGGCGCTATCAAACGGTCCGTGCTCTGCGAGTCCGCGAGCCGCGAAACGAAACGTGAAACGAAAAAGAAGACAGGTGTCAAAGTCTGTTCGAGATCTCTCAAGGTCGGAGGCCGATCGTGAAAACGAATCGGTACAAAGTGGCAAGTGGAAAGTGGCGAGTGGCGAGTGGCGAGTGGCGAGTGGCGAATGGCGAATGGCGAATGGCGAATGACGAATGGAAAGTGGCGCGAGTGGAAAGTTGGAGGAAGTGGGGAGCGTAGAGAAAAGAGAGAAGAGAGAACGAGCGGAGAGAGGAGAGAGAGCGAGAGCGAGTAGTCAGTCACCTGTTGCAAACGAGGAGCGAGGGCCTGCAGGTGCGCCAGGTAAACGTTCGCGAGGTCCTTGAGCGCGCTCGATCGCTCCTCCTCGAGGAGTTCCATCTGCTTGGCTCCTTTCCTCACCGTGCTCTCGTGCTCGAGCCTGGCTCTCTCGGCTCTCACGCTCACCGTGTAGAACTCCGTGTCCGCCCTACGGGACGAGTCCTCGGCCTTTCTCCTCCTCGCCTCGAGCTTGCTCGCCTCCTTCTCGGTCATATGGTGATGATGGTGATGGCTCGACGATTTGTTGTTGCTCTGCTGGCTCTGACCGATCGACTGCAGCCTCGCCAAGTCCTGCAGCCTCTCGTTTTCCCGCGCGCAAGCGAAACTCTGCTTTTTGCTTTTCGCAGCGATGTTACGCCACTCGTGAAGAGATTTTCCAGCTTTGTCGACCGCGTTCTCGATCGACTTCCTCGAACGGCCCTGAGCTTCCGCTACTCCCACCTGCGAATACGTTAACGCCTCGTTAACGCCTCTCGTTCCGAGGCCGTAACGGTTCGCCGAGGTAGCGTTCTCGCCTGTGCCGGCCCATCTCCCCAACCCCTGTCGATCCGACGCGTCGAGCACGAGAAAAGAGAGGAGCCTGGGGACATCGACGGGACACCGAACTTACCCGGATCGGTTTCGCGAGCTGCTCGCTGAGCGTGACGCTCCAAACCCTGTGAGCTTCCGCGGCAGCCTCCATTTCCTCGCCGATGCATCTCCATGCCTCGTTCACGCCTCCGCTGCTGTTCCCACCTGCGTTACGAAACACCGTTGGCGACCAACTAATTATGACAATGCAAATTGATCGCAACCTCGCGTTCCATCGCACAGTCGCACAGTCGCACAGTCGCATAGTCGCACGTCCAATAGAAATCGATCGTTTCGATCGTAAAGAATCGTCGCCAAAATACCTTGATCCTTTGCGCACGCTTTCGTCAGTTTGTTGCTCAGCTTGGAGAGTCCTTTGGCGTAAGTTGCTTCCAGTTCCGCCCTAAAATATATCGGTAGTTGGAAGTACGCGCGAGCGAGAAAATACCAGCACGGTGCATCGTTTTCAGATAACGTCGTCGTCCCGTCGTCGGGATAACGAAACGCCCGAGCGATCGCGAACGCGTACACGGATGCGTAGGTACGTGCGACGCGGCGACGATTACCTTTCGTGTAGGATAGCTGCCAACTCCTTGCAAAAGTCACCGCCCTGCTTGACGTACCTTCGAACGTCCTCGAAACCGCCTTGCCCTCCCTGCAATCAGAAAACAATACGCATCGATAGATGATGGAGGCTGACCGTCGCGTTCCCCGTTCCCCGTTCCCCGTTTCTCGTTTCCCGTAGCTTGTCCACTTTCGACGGGAAACTCCCGGACGGACGCGGGGGCTCGTTCCACGGTTGAATAATCGCGGTACGCAAGGGGAACCTAGAAAATAGCGGTAACTAAAGTATCGCGAACGAATTACGAGGATTTCTTGCGCCGCGTGCCGCCGAGTTTCGCCTACTTCTTCCGGACGCGTCGTCGGGCCTCGAAAAAACGAGAAATTTACAAATCTCTACCTTTTCGCCGCTCTCCGTCCCGACGGGTTTACGGGCACGAGTTATCCGACTTACGGCGATCTTGACCGAGCCCGAGTCTTTCGATGAAAATTCGACTCTTCGAAAGCCTCGGTGCTCGATCGTAACCGGAGAAAGGCTGGATCGATCGTTTCTACGCGTTCGCGCGTTTGCACCGTCGCGTCTCGTCGAGAGCACGAGCGGCAAGGCGAGTCGAGTAAAGGCAAAGCGAGGCAAGGCGAGGCAACGCGCGGTTACTTTCCCACGTGAAATTCTCGAGCGACGTCGTGCCAGCGAGGATCGATTCTACCTTCTTATCGGTTTGCTCGAGGAGGAGAGCGAGGTAGCTTCGTCGGTGGAATCGAGCACTTTCCATCGTTCGATGGACGGTCGAATAATCGTTTCCGAATCCTATCTAAGATTTAAGGACTATATTTCGAAGGTGACAGAGAGAGATGGAGAGAGAGAGAGAGAGAGAGAGTGCCTTGATCGGATGAAATCGTTTCGCGGACATGCGGCAACGTGGATATGCGCGAATCTAGGCGTCTTGTCGACTCGCGCGTCTTACGTCATGGCTAAATAGCTCTAGGCCGAATATCTTTCGCGACGGCGAATCCTCGAGGCCGTCCGAGTCCCTTTCCAAAAGGGAACAAGATAGGGACACGGACGGGGGCAGGGAGAGAGAGAGAGAGAGAGAGAGAGAGAGAGAGAGAGAGAGAGAGAGGGGAAGAAGGAGACAGAAGACAAGGAGGAAACCGCGAATGAATTCGATTCGATCGAACGATTCGGTACGATGAGAATTCGATGTATAGATGAAAAATTATGCGTGTTAAGTGAAAAGGAAAACCGGTATATTCTCTGTAATCAAACCGGTCGTCGCGAACCGGTCGACTAAAAATCGTTCGATTTTACTTCTGTTCGAGATCTCGGATTTCCTTGTGCAACGTGAAATATTTTTGTGGCGGGACGGGACAACCGGATCGAAGGGAACGCGTCGAAAATGTCGAGACGTTGCGAGCGAAGGCGACGCGCCTTCCGTTTCGCTTTCGTCGAATTCGAATCCGACCGATTCTCATTCGAGGTTGATCGCAGGCTTTTCCGACGAATTCGGACGTTCGTTGGAACCGGAAGAAACTTTAAAGAAACGTCGTTGTCCGACGTTCGAAAGAAACGCGGAGCTGCCAGCTTCGGAAAGAGCGTCCCGTATCGGATAAACGACGAGTACGCGTGCGCGCGAATCGCGCGACAAAAAAAATCTGGTTTACGACACTCGCGATTACACGAACGATAAAAGAAAGGATCGTCCGTTCGCCGTAAAAATGAATCCACGCGCGGTGCAAGTGCCGCGTGTAGTTGCGCGCGATGCGATAACATGGCGCGGGCATGATTCTGCGAATCGTGCAACAGGTGGCACGCGTCCGCGTGTCTTCCCTATGATTTCGAGACGATTTACTCGAGACCGCGGCGAGACAGTATCCGGGACAGGTTCTCGCATTCGTTCGAGTTTCGAAAATCCAACCATCGATCGATCGAAACTAGTCAACGCCGAAAATCGTAAAAACATGATCCGACGATGGAACTCGCTTACGGCCCTCTCTTAGGTGCATCGGGAACGTTTCGGATGCAACGAAAGTGGGTGGGTTCGGAAAGCGATGTCGCGGTGGAACGGCCACGACTCTTCCTTTCGCTTTTACACGATTTGACTCGACTCGACTCGACTCGACTCGAAACGAATCGATGATGGCCGACTTCCTCGACTTCCTCTAGTCGGGTTCACGCGCCACGGTGAAATCGCAGAGGTCGCGGGTACTGCGCATAGTCGAGGCTCGAGGCTATTGTACGGTGTATTTTACGTTGTTCCGCGCGTTCGTTCGGCATTGAGAGAGAGAGAGAGAGAGAGATTGACTCGCGATCGTTTAAAAAGACGAACGCAAGGAATACACGGAACATTGAGAAAGTTTCGATTTCAGATGTTCGCTGCTCGCAAGGAAACGATACCGTTTTCGCGGAGCGAAACTAGCAGCTTACGGTTTTCCGATTGGAGAACGGAGAATCTGCAGTCGCGACCAAAGTGCAACGAAAGTCGCGGTATCTTTCGATCGACGCGACGAGGAGAAGCGTTGCACGCGCGCGCGAGCGTAGGAACGCGTAGGAGCTTGGTAGCATCGGAAGCGTACACACCGGTATAGGAGCGTCGGAGCCAAGAGTACTCGCGGACGAGCGCGCGCGAGACAAAGTCGGTTATTTTCTCCGCCCAACTTTCCCACACTTTCCATGGTTTGATCGTTGTTCGAAACAGTATTTACGGTTAGCGGTACCCGAGGCCCGAACGAATACAGTCGGATATTCTCGTAGGAATTAGAAACTGTGCGCGCGCGAGATGCCCTCTCGGTCGGGAGAGAGAATCGAAAGCGTGCGCGCGATCGTGGAAATATCGAGTGACCGGGACGCGCGCGGCGAGACGCGAGACGCGAGACGGCTCTCGCAAAAAAAAGAAGGAAATTTCTCGGAATCGCGGATGCCGATTTTAAATTCGGAGTAGAATAGAACGACCAAGACGTATACCTCTTCGGCCTCGTGAACGTGAAGCAGATGAGTAGAGGCCATTAACCCTCTGATCGAGCCCAGCATTCTTCTCTTAATCAGGCCGACTTTTCGAGCGTGATCCTTGATCTCGGCGGTCTCGGCGGTCTCGGCGATCGCGTTGTCCGCCTCCTCGTTTTCCGTGCCGCAGCAGGGATTCGGATCGTTCGCGCTGCCGAGCACTCTTCTCGGGCCGGCGGCTTCGATTTCGGTTTCGACTTCTGTTTCGGCTTCTGTTTCGGCTTCGATATCGGTTTTGATTTCGACCGGCCGAGTAGCGATTGTCTCGGTGGCGGAGGCGGGGGCGGAGACGGAGACGGAAACGAAACCGAACTCCTCGACCCTGGTGACGGAGCCCGTGTGCCCGATCGTCGCCCTGGTCAAGTCGTAGGACGCCGACTCGCGTTTGCCGTTCGAGACGTTCGAAACTTTAGGGACGTTCGCCGGTTGTTCGGTCTCCGCGGCGAGGGCCCCGACCGCTTGCATTCTCGCGTGCTTGTTGACCACCTCGTTGAACCTGGTGGTTTCGTCGCGCAGCCAACTCCTCATTTTGTCCCACGCTTTTCCCAATCGGTGCTTCTGCAACTACGGACGCGCGGAAATTGTACACTCGGTCCGTTCGCGAGCAAAATGTCCGGCGACGTTCGAGTCGTTGCCCGACTCGAACCGGCTCGCCGGACGTTGCTCGGGAAGAGACCGCGCGCGCGTGCTCTGCTGCGAGAGCACCTTCGGGGCGCGAATACGTGTACCTTTGAACGCCGGATTCGACGGGACGCGCTGGACGGAGCGTCGTTCGAACACTCGGGATCCGAGTGGGATCCAGACACGGAGGCGATTCCGACAACGTACTCCTCGTTCTCGTCGTCCTCCTCCGTGCCGTAGCTCTTTCGACCCGACTCGAACGATCCGATCGATCGCTTCGCGCGGTCGTTGCGACCGCTTCGACCGTTCTTCTCGCCGACCGAACCGATTCTCACGATCGCTCGTCCGTTCGCTTTCTCCGGGGCGATATCGTTCGATCGGTCAACCAAATCCTCGCGAGTCTCCGCCTCTTTTATAAGCTCCGGATCTTTTCTTTCGTCGAATTCTTTTCGAATCGTGCCGTGAATTTCATTGCCATCGTTCGTCGTCTTTGCCAGGTCCTGACGACTTTCTACGACCTTCACGGTTTCGGTTTCGGTTTCGATTTCGATTTTGATTTTGGTTGTTTCGCTTTTGGTCTCGTTCTCGTTCTCGTTCTCGTTCTCGGTCTCGGTCTCGGTCTTGATCTCGGTTTCGTCGCGTACGTACGAATTCCGGGGAAAGTCGTAGAGCCGATAAGATTGCGACGTCGAGACGATACTCGTTTGATCGTTGTCGTCGGCCATGCTCGAGGATGCGGACCCCGGCGCATTCGAGTCAAGGACGGGACGCTTCTCGTCGGCTTGCAAGAAACTGAAGCTGATCGTCGGCACCCCGTCCACGTCGGTTTCCACCGATGCAACCGCCGTCAGTTCCACGGTGGTCTTGTGCCGTTTTTCGTCTCGGCAGTCGGTTGCTTTCTCGCGATCTCCCGACGGTTGTTCCGTCGGGATGGCTCGCCGGTCACGGAACGGCCGTTGCTCCTCGTCGACCACCTTTGCGACCTCCCGATTCCCATCGGAGATGGAAAACTCGCGGCAGTGAATTATCACCGGCGTCGGCGCGTCGTACCAGATCGTCGACGTCGACGAGTTGTTGTTGCCGTTCCCAGTGTTCGCGTTCGCGTTCGCGTTCGCTTTCGGTGACGACGACAATTTTCTAACCGATTTCAGAGAGGCCCACGCGTGTCGCATTTCTTCCATTTTCTTCCGACGTGCTCCCCGCGGTTCGGTTCGGTACGGTTCGATTCGATTCGGTTCACTGCTCGGATCGATCGTTGCGCGCGATAAAAACGCAGAATGCTGACACGACGTCGCAACGTTCGCGCGTCCGTCGGTGACGCGGTGACGCGATGACGCGATGACGCGATCGCGCGATGCGCGATCACGCGATTTCGACCGATAGTATCGATCGAAACGTCTCCCGTCTACCCGTTCAAAGATCCAACGTCGTCGGTCGATTTACCTACGAGCACCGAATTTCGAAACGCTTCGCGGTGGGTGAACGTCGATGACATTTCTGTTTTCCCACGAACATGGACTGTCTCGAAAATTCGTCCATCCGCTTCTGTTTGCACATTTGCAAAAATTACACGTTCGACGATCAATTTCAAGGCGTCGAAGACCGTACGACGTCGCTTCGATGTTCGTTATATACGGTGCACGCAACTACGATTACAGCTGCGACAATGGCGACAATGATAAGGCGATACCGCGCCTAGTGTCTCGATGCCGCGCCTCGCCTCGCCTCGCCTCGCCTGCCCGGTTAGCCGCTTCCGCGCGCGACCGATGCACCTGTGGTTGTCGGTCGCCTATGTATCGTTCCAGTTTCACGATTTATCGGTTTTTTCCACGTTACGCGATTCGCGCATAGTCGCGCCGGCTGCATCGTCGATTCGTTACTCTTTCACCGATCGATTTCACAGTCATGCCGATCCGCGCAAATTGGCGGGCCGTTCAACGACCTTGCGAAGAATCATCGCGGAACGTTGAAAACGCGATTCCCGGGAACGAGACCGTGTTTCACGGTCGATCGTCGCGAACCGTTCGAGGAGCGATCGATCGGAGCTTTCGATCCGCGACGGAAGAATCGTGTCGAACACGATCGTCGCGGTCTCTTCCGATTTCCGCAGATCGATGGAAGAAATAAAAGGGGAGAGAACCGCGAAAACGCGAGAGCGCGACGCTCCCCGAACCGTGATGTTCGAGCGACGACGTTCCAGCGACGACTGGATTCGCGTTGGAACTCGCGTTCGTACGTCGCGTCGTATCGTATTATACAACAGCGTCGGTCAAACAATTATATCCGTATTACGTTGCGTACACGCGCGTTGCACAACCGCGCGAACGGTGCACCGTGCTCCTCGTATCTCTGCGAAATGAAATCGCGGCAACGGTAAGTACGCGCATAGTCGAGGACCGCTCTCCTAATAATAGATTATAAATTCTCCTTGCGTTAACGATTAAGCGGCGCTTAACTCGCGGCACGTGCCTCCGCAGCCTCGAGGCCTCGAGGCAAGACTCTGCTGCGATATCTTTCCATTTCTTTTCGTCGAACGCTGTGAAATTTCAGCGTCGAGCAGTCGTTCGTTCGTCGCTCGCTACCATCGCAAATACCACGTATGTACGATTCCGTTCGTCGCGGCGATCCATCCGTTGTTCCGGTCCTTCGGTCGCTTCCTTTTTGCTACGGTTTAAACCGCGTTTAAGCCGCGAAAACCGATCGGAAGGGGACGGATGGAAGGCAGCACCGAAATCAAAAACAAACGAAAAACGAGAACGAAGAGACGTTGCTGGCGCACCTTCGGAAGAGGAAACTGGTAACGATGCGTGGATACGCAGCGACGATCCGACGGCTACAAAGAGGAGAGACGGATCGCGATCGAGTGCGACGCGTCGAGAGCGCTGCACAGCTGCGGGTAAATAGATGCGGACATGACGCGACACACGGAACACGGGCACGGGACACGGGACACGGGACACGGGACACGAGCACCGGACACTCTTTCGCGGTCGGAAACGTAATGCGCGTTTCGAGCGCAACACTCCGGAGCGATCGCAACCAGAAGCGGATAGTTTGAGCGATAAACGCGTTTCTAGGCGGGAGGTTGTCGTTTTGTTTCAAGATTATATTTAGCTTCGTTACGCGTGCGAGAGAGTCGCGTTACCGAAACACGGTGCATGCTACACTACCGCACCGCACCGCACCGCACCGCACCGCACAGCTAAAACGCGCAACTAAAAGCGAACGATGCACGACACGTGCAGCTTCTCCGGCGCAACGTCGATCGACGACTGCAACTACTCGCGCGATCGCGTTTCTCAAACTTGAACGAGCAATTCTTCCGACCGGTTAACGGGCCGCTTACCGGGTTTGCTTGCTGAACCGAAATTGTCGAGACCCGATACGAGAACCTGCGATCAATGTCAATTTCCGTTCGGAACGATCCGAAGCGATCGGAAGAAAAGCACGACGCTGTAAACTGCGAACGATCCTGCGGCATCGCTTCGCCTCGCCACTCGACAACGGTTCGAAAAGTTCCCGAAGGAAATCGCATTTCGTTCCAATTTTTCTAAATAGAGAGGTCTAGAAGATCGAGTAATCGAACTAGTTTTCGCATTGTTCCTTACGAAATCTTTCTAAGGGCAAGATCAAGATGAACGATACTCCTACCCTCAACTATGTAGACAAAAGAATGAGAGAAAGAGAAAAAGATGGGGAGACGAGAGAGAGAGAGAGAGAGAGAGAGAGAGAGAGAGAGAGAGAGGCGAAGAAAAGAAGGGAGAAGGAGAAGGGAACTGTAGCGGCGGAAGTACGGTGCACGCTTATCCGGTGTCGCACCTTGCCTCTAGCCATGAACAGCCTGTTCTGTTACCTCGTTGATCCACTACCCGTTAGAGAAAATACGGTTGTCTATCTTTTTATCGTTTATCGTACTCGCATCGAGCACGCTCGATCCGAAGCGACTCGAGCCGACTCCAATATTTATTCGTTCTTGTTCCCGCCCTACGAATCTTAAGGACATCGAGAATATTCGAACGTCGCATCGCGAGAAAAATGAATTTTCAATCTCGAACAAAGAACCGTACGGGTCTCGCAGGCGAGCCACCCGATAAGTAGTCGACGCGTTCAAGTCGGGACGAGCACGTGTCCTGCATCCGGTCTGGCGATCGAAATAAAAACCAGATCGTACGCACCGGCGAACGCACGAGTCACGGTATATTGAGGATATTCGGTACGATATTCGGTATATTCGGGATATTCGGAATTCGGCCGATGAGCGAATACTTACGGTCGCGACAAGATTTCGGAAGAATTTCGAACAAACGCAGCCGGGACACCGACAACGTCTCGAACGCATCCTGCGAAAACTCCACCTATCCGATCGTTGCACACGCTCCGAGCATTCTCTCGATCCGCTCTACGCATCCACCGCGCGACGTGGCAACGACAAGCAACGAGAATAAAAACGCGCGAGACTACCGATAGTCCACGCGCAACGAACATTCGTTTCACAGGCATGCTTTCCTCTTATCGCATAATCCATTCTTATCCGACGCGACGTTCTTTTCGACCGAAAATTGCGAAACATTGTACACCGATCGGAAACGTCGATCTCGCTAGCAAATCTCTGATGTGTTCCAGTAAAAGCATTCTCTGGTCTCCCGAGATCGTACTTTCTTGATTTTCTACGATTTTCTTAACGGACAACCGAAAACAGAGAACAAAGAACAAAGAACAGAGAAGAGAGAACAGAAAACAGACAGCAGAGAGCAGAGAGCAGAGAGCAGAGAGCAGAGAGCAGAGAACAGAGAACAGAGAACAGAGAACAGAAAACAGAAAACAGAAAACAGAAAACAGAGAACGCGAACGAAACCCAAGTTTAAACAACGCAAGAAAGATGCTCGAACGCCAGTCGATTTTAATCGTTTCAGCTACTCTTACTTTCCGATGGAACTGTTCCTTCGTAGTATGTGTAATGGGTGTAACAAGACTGGTCTTCCAATGGGTAGGAAAATATCCCGGTCTTAGAGATAGGCCGTGACGGTATAGAGCGACACGTTTTAAAGAATAAAGGAGGGAACCCAACGATACCGGGTCCTTTATCGGTATCAAGATTTTTCAGCTTTGCAAAGATATCGCTAATGCTAATATCGACATCGGTTGAAAACCACTTTCTTCAACGTTTCTTCCGTTAATGTTATTTTTGCGAGCAGAGCCGAAGCTACTTTATACCATCTTCTCCCAGGGAGACCGACAAGCGTACGCGGTCAACGGTGATACGAGTATCGTCCAACGATTAATACGGCGACTAGGATCAACCGGAAACGACTCGTCGACCGGAACAAAGTTCTCTCGCGACACGCTCCAACTGCGAATGCGAGCAGCTAATAGATAACCGCGTAATGTAACACGCTTCTCCGCGAACCGATACTCCGTGCTTTTACTTCCTATCTAATTCCCGTATCCATAGAACGATATTATCTCCGTGAAGTATGTACTATCTATTGGCCGTTTGATCGCACACGAGACGTGCGGGAAACGAAAGAGGCAAGGGTGCGATGCGCCGCAACTTTTGTAGCGCGGCTATGTCAGCGGAGTCGAAGAGGGCCCGATGGAATGACACAAGGAGGCAAGGAAGCTTTTCGTCCGGTTCAGTTGTTGTCTTTGCCTTTACCTTTACCTTTACCTTTACCTCCTCCTCCTCCTCTTCCTCCAACTCGGTTCTGGGAGTACAACCCGTTTCGCGAGGTTGCTCGAGTCATGTATAATACGATTGCATGACATAATAAGATGCGTGTTTGTTCCGAAACACTTTCACCCCCGGAGAGTCTCCGACGGGCCTATAGAGGTCTGCGGGCCGAGTGGACCGACAGGACCGGCAGAATGGCAGAACGTTCGAACTGACCCGCTCGCCAGGAATTTGATGTATCATGTTCGCACGCGTTGCAATTGCAAAGTAGAAACGCGTTACACGTTACACCCTACGCCTTAAAGGCCAACAGCCCATCGCGCCGCCACTCTCCGTTCCTGCAGCAGCCTTCTTCCTCCCTTCCTTTTTCTTCTCTTCCCCACTCGCCTTTTCGCCTCGAACTTCATCGATAATTACGTAACGGAACAGAAAAATCTCCGAGCCGATCTCGAAACGATGCAACAATCGAGTCGTGTACCGTTCGAGTTTCCACGTTCACCTTCCCGGTATTTTTACCTCTGTCGGCAACGATTGCTCCGAGTCTCTCTCTCTCTCTCTCTCTCTCTCTCCGCGATGCGACCGTTAAGTTTGTTGCAACAACGACAAGATGATCCAAGCTAATTAGTTGGAAATTTAGTTAGCGAGAATTTAGGGAACGCCGTTATCGCCGCGACTTAATTAGGTTTCGATGAAATTTCAGATTAAGAGCTGCGATCGAGATATTCGACGGGATATACCCGGAACGAACGGATACGCCGATAGCGGATCTAGATCCTCGCGTGGCACGATGACCAAGTCCATCGCGAAACGATGACCCATCCTAAGATAAGATGCTTATACTTTTCTTTTTTTCTATCGATACGTAGCGAACTCCGAGATAATAAGTTTTTAGATCAAGAGCAGAGAATAACTGGAGTAGCGAGCGATTTAACGTCCGCTCGGTAAACGAACCTCAATGCCGTTTGCCGATCGTCTTCGTTGCGTTTCGCTAACTACTTACACGCCGATACAAGTAACTGTATAATATACCTGTGTACCAAGTTTGTCTCCCTCCTTCTCGCGACCTTGAGACAATCTTTCAAGCTGGTACAAACGCGAAGGCGAACGCGAACGCGAACGCGAACGCGAACGCGAATACGCAAACGGTAGCAAACAAGATGAATCCGAAAACACGGAAATCGATCATCTGCTCGGACTCTGTCAAATTTATTTTCTTTTTTTTCTCATGCCTTCGTGATAGCAACGATCTGTACGCGTCGGTGAATCCAAATTCAGAGCGAGAAAAAACGACGCGACGGTGCTTCTACTCGTCTACGATTCTGCACGAATGATAAAATCGTCTAACAAGGCTCGTACGATCTTGTTTCATAGAACGCACGAAACGCAGCCATTGTCCATAAGTACGCAGTTATCCGCGGATAATTGTTCAGCGAGCCATTTGCCGTGGCGAGGCGAGGCGAGGCGACGACGCGTCACTGCACCAGCGCAATCATCGTGCACGCCCTGCGCTTCCTATTTTTCTTACGCGATCATCGAAAAGGCTCGATGAACGCATTCATCGTGTATAAACCGTACAACGATTAGTGGCTACAATAAATGCTGCTTTCAATTCGGTATTACCTTTTCATCGGAATCGAACGCTGGTATAATCCTGTTATTATACGTATTCTAAACGTAAATCGAGTTCTAGCATCTATCCCGGTCCCGAAACTTCGATGTAAAGCCAACGACGCGCAACGACTAAGGCGATCGAGAGAGCGTACGAATCGAGTAAATTTATTTACACGCAAGCGCCCATGCGTGTGTAGCGTGTATGCGCGCAACAATTTTTAGAAAAGTGGGTCGTACATCCGATATCTCGTATAGAAAACAAGCCGGACGATACATTGTTGATTAATCAAAATGCTTCAAGCTTTCTGCCAAGTATGAAAAATAGAAAAATAGAAAAATTAGAAGAAAAATAGAAAAATAGAAAAACAATGGAGAAATTTGGAACGAATGAACGAATGAATCAAAATCAACTAATAAAATCATCGAATCAACGAATAAACGTGTAGAAGAAGAAAAGGTCCAGAGGAACGCGGTAGGTACTCACCGCGTACTTGTCCTTGTAAAAGAGCGAACTAGTCGACATGGCGTTAATCCAAGCGCAACAAGTTGCAGAGAACGGGTTGCACTTTCACAACTGCTTCATCGTCGATCGTTGGTCGCCGTTATTTTGGCCACAACTCCGAACCACGATATCTACCAAGTTTGTCGCACTTGTCGAACGCGGTTGCACGCGTGCACGCACATGCGCGCCCGCGAGGCACGGAGGTGCCCACGCTTGCACTCTTCGTTTTAATAGCTCCGAGCAAAATCCAGGCAAAGCTTTTTGCAAATCACCGAATCTAGAGGTGAAACTAGGACTCTCGTCGAAACACCGAGAGCGTCGCAAACTTTCAGATTCGGAAGCTGTTCGATGTCGGGGAACCAGAAAATCGAAGAGATGTTTCGCGCGGAACGAATTGTGCGCGACATAAGATTGAACTGAACTGCACCAGACGGGACAGGACGAAACGGGACGAGTCAAAGCTGCGAAAGAAGCGGACTGATACACCGTATGCATGTCCTGTTTATGACCACGGTTACGGTAAGAAAGGTACGACTCTCTCTCTCTCTCTCTCTCTCTCTCTCTCTCTCTCTCTCTTTCTCTCTCTCTCTCCTCCTACTCCTCTTCCTCCTCTCTTCTCCCATTTCCCTCAACGACGTCCCCACCATACCGTGTTGACCTACAATCTAACCCAACAGCTAACACGAAGGCTCCTCCAGTTGTCACCGAACCAGTGTTTCCATTTTCCGGCGTCATAGAAGCGTCCCTCGCGGCCACGCTACCCTCTAACTTGATCGACATGGACAACGTTACTAAATTGGAATGGAGTAATAGAGGGGATTGTTGACTTCCCCAACTGCGATGCGCCTGCGCCGACACGACGCTACACGATGCTACACGACGCGACGTAACGACGCGCGGGTCAACGTTTTGCTACACGGCGCATTCCTACCACTTCGGTGTTCGGCTTTCAGTTCAAGTGGGAGGTTTGATGGCGACTTTAGGGAGCGTGGGGGCGCGAGAGACGCCCCTATGACGCCGGCAAATGGAAACTTCGGGGACGAGGACTAACAATAAGTCAAAGCGCTCTCTCTCTTTTCGCCCTCCTTTACTCCTCTTACAACCATCTCTTTCTCCTTCGCTTGCTCTTTTCTTTCACAATATTTCACGATTACAGCAAAATACGAATGGAAACTCTCTCTAGAATAAACCACGCTTTTATATACGGGAGTAATACATACGAATCTAAATTAGACTTAGTTAAACGTAAACTTCTTCTTTGCCCTTATTCCTCTGTTTCTTTATCGCTACCTAATCCCCTGAAATTGTGATTGATAACGCTTTCACAGTTTATTTACAACCTTACATTATGATTTCTTTCATAACTGCTTTCATTAGGTAGCGTATTAGGTAGGTTATTCGTCCTTAATTTCTCGTTTCTTTCTCTTACTCGTATCCCCTTACTTTTAATACTAATCTTAGTTTTCTTATACTTCAATGATCTTTTACTCTATTATTCTCTATTATCTTCCTCCATTCGATCACTTATTTTCTCTTCTACTCCATCTTCTTATCGTATCGCTTCTATTTTTATTTCTTTTTGATATTCCCGTTGATCGATACACAAACTATTATTTAGTAAATACTTGCATGCTGAAAAACTTCAAACTGAAACACGTTTATCTTGCAACAATACTTTCCAGAATGGGATATACTTGCGCGATATCTTTATCGGTATCGATATTGATATCGATGCGATTGCAATCAAAATCTGCAGATTTTTATTCAGAATATTCTATTAATAGTTAGTTGATGCATGATAACGTCTTTCGTTCTATCGAATATTCTACGTATGTTGTTTCGACGATATATCTACGTAACACCTATGAAATTTGCAGTTTCTGTTTGAAATGAAATACCCGTCGTCGCGTCGTCGGATCAAAAAAGCGCGGGAACCGAACTTTTGAATGTTCGATTCCGGAAACAAGCCAAGTCGATATCGTCGAAAACAACCAATCGCCATCTTGTTTGATCGAAAATTGAATCTCGAAACACTATCGAATCAGAGGTCTACGGCGCGATACGTGAGTGCCCTGTGTTTGTTTGCTTCTCGCGGAACGAAGCTCTGGAAATATGACTCAAGAAGGCCAGTAAGTATAGTAGAATTCACGTAAAAACTCCCTCGGATCTATTCTATAAATTCTAAATCGTATCCCTTTCCCATCGGGATGTGAAAATCGTTGGTTATTCGTCGGAATGGCTGAAATGCCGCCCCGTGGCTTTCGAAACACCGCCATGTTGTAAAACGACTTTATTGATTCTCGAAATTTCTAGAAAAGAATTTCGATGAACTTCTTTGTGTGCCTGGCTTTCTCGCCAATTTCCTAACTTTCTTTCGTTTCATCGCCGATCAATTGAATTCTTTCGAAATATTAAACTTCCCCATACGTTCTGCTTTAGACGAAATATCGAACGATCAACATCCTGGTTCTACTGGCTTTTAATAACTTGCATATTTCAAAGCAATTATTTATCGATATTTCAAACAAAAATATTACGTTCGAATTCTACGTTCCTCCTCGTAATGCTTTCGGCAACGCGCAATTATTTTTATTCTGTTTCGTTGACGAGCAACGATACACTGTGTATCGTTTTATCTACCAATGACTAGCGGTTTTTCTCGGCAACCGTACAACTTTATTTCCAACCTTTACTCTTACTCCACGTTTCACGTTTATCGCATTATTTTCAACATATGCTTTTTCCATTGGCACTCGATCGTCCTGCTACAAATTTTTTATTTCACTTATTAAGTTATGTAAGACGATCGTTCGGATTCATTCGAATATAATTATATGATATATACAAAAATTTTCATATCTGATCTCCTCGCACGTTACTACGAGCTTGTCCCGAGACGTGTATCGAAGCACATGTTTCTCTGGAGAAATACCGACTTATCCATATAATATATCACTTGTTTTTTCGTTAATTATTCTTCTACAACTGCATACATACCGTTTTCTTCCCATTTTATCTTAATAATAATATTACTCGTACATGCTAATAAAATTATTTATCTGCAATTGTATTGCGATACGCTATACGCGATATTAAGTTTACCCGAAACACGATCGAATCACACACACACACACATTCTAAATGAGAAATTTCCATTTTCTTCCTTGCTTAATA